ATTCAAAAGTATAATTCATTTATGGTCTTCCTTATTCACTGCCCAGCTTTCACACGAGGTTATTGAAAATACCATGGCTTGGGTCAGGCGCACCTTAGTCTGTAAGCTGACATCTTTGCTCTTCAACACTTTAAAAGAGCTTTTTAGTTTGAGGGAAATACATGAGAAGACAAGTGCTAGAGGCACTGTAGGTTAAGCACTGGACTCTAACCTCAAGGTCAGCAGTTCAAACCCATCAGCTCTTTCTTGGGAGAAAGATGATACTTTCTGCTCTCATAAAGATTTATAGCTTCAAAAATCCTATAAAGGGTCACTATAAATTGGAACTGACTTGATGGCACCTAAAAAACATAAGACATGAGAAAGGTACAGAAGAATATTTAGGTAAGACCCTAAATATCTTCTCATTATAAAAAGACTAGTATGACAGAAAATAAAAGAAGAAATTGACAAAATGTATACTATACATAACTTTTATGAGAAAGAAATATGAAAAGCGGTGAGGCATTTTGTATTCCCTATGACCTTACTTTCCTTAATCTTAATTCTAGTAATTTAATCCTAACACTGGCCTCACAGTCTTTCTATGAATTAATGCAATTCTGGTAAAAACGTTCCATTTTGATTTCCTCCCCAAAGCACTATACTCTGTATGTTTTCTTTTTCTTTTACGCACTCAGCTCCCATGTACTTATTTGATACTTAGGGTGGTGTTGTGTGCACTTGACTAGTAATGGCACTTAACAACAACAACAGCTAACCAAAAGATTGACAGTTCAATCCACTACTGAAGAAAGTCCTGGTGATCTGTTTCTGTTAAGATTATAGACAAGAAAAGCTTATGAGGTGATTCTGTTCTGTAGCACACAGGGTCCTGAGTCCAAAAATGACGAGAAAAACAGATTTGTTTGATTGCTGTTTTTCGGTATGTGAATACATGTTTGTTTTTATTGTTTTTGAAGAGATAAGCAGCAACTTTAATGATTTGTTAGTCACATAAAGAGTTTTATTCCTATTTTCTTAAGCTTAACTCCTGAGTTAGAAAATGATTTATTAAAGAGATTGGTTTAGGAATGAAGGGCAGATGTAGAAACGCAATTAGTAATTATTTTCAAAACCTAAGGAGACCCTTCTCTTTTGAATTTAGAAAAGATCACTTCTAGAAGTTTGTCTCCTGTCAACAGCTTTGTTACTAAATAGGTTTGAGTATGGGTCAGAATTGACTCAATAATTGTAACAAGTTTGGATTTGTGGGTTTTGCTCCAATATCAATTTGTAATAAATTAGAGTATTTCCGTATTTGAACTTTGCATATTGACCATTATGGATAATATTATTTTAGGCAGTTTGGAATGAATTAAACAATGTTGTTGTTGTTGTTAAGTGTCACTAAGTCGATTCCTACTCAGCAACTCTGTATATGGTTCCCAAGGAGTGGCTGGTGGGTTTGAACCATCAACTTTGCAGTTCAAACTGACCTTTCAGTCCAGTGCTTACCCTACAGTGCCATACCAGGACTCCTTAACAATATTAATTGCTATATGCTAACTTCTGGGTTGGTGGTTCAAACTCACCAACTATTCCTTGTAAACCCTGTACAGAGTCACTGTGAGTCAAAGGCAATATACGTGATTGGAATGACATCATCTATTGATACATCTAAAAGATACATCTTGTCTCAACCAAACTTTTCCTTGAATACTTAAAATATAATATTTACTTACATAAGCCATACCATGCATCCTTCTCACTATTTGAAAAAAGAGATTGAACATAAAGAACTAATAAATATGAGGGATTTCTTCTAATAAATGCATTATACAGAGTCAACTGTTTTGAAAAATGAAATATTAAGGTCATCTTATTGCACTTTCATTTTCATTTGACCTATTCAGTGTTCCTTCATTTATAAAATCCTACTGAGAAAAGCAATCTGGTATAATTTTAATTGTACTCAAATTATTTTAGTTTCAATTGAACAAAGAGAATGCTGTATTTGAACATTGCTTTAAAATTCAGTCAATATTGATAAATAATTATTGAGTTTACTTGTTAGAACCTAGTTTGAGGACCAATAAAGTCCCAATTTTTAATATACATAGTATTTTTAAATCAACAGTGATCTTTACTTCCTTTTTCAGGACTCTTTTTTCTTCTCAGGATAATGCCTGGCACATAGCAGTCACTAGGGGAATGCTTTATGAATGAGAGAGGGAGCAGTAAGTGTTCATTAGCAACTATGTGTTCATTAGTGAGTCTCCTCTCTCATGCAAGATACTCCATTAGTGAACACCTGACTACCTTTCTCCTGTGGAATCTCAGCCACCACCTACCCACCCACTACCAGCAAGTTGATTTTGTCTAATAATGACCCTGGACAAGGTTTCTGAGGCTGTAAATCTTTATGAAAGCAGAAATGCCATCTTGTCCCTGAGAAGCAACTAATGGGTTTGAACTGCTGACTTTGCTGTTAGCAGTCTATTGCTTATCCGACAGCATCATAGGGCCAAGAATTGGAAACAAGAAAGGTAGACATATTGTAGCAAAAGGAGGGGAGAGGCTGACTTTGCAGTCCAGGAGCAGAGATCCCTGGGACCATTAAAGGAGAAGAATGGGATGTGTGGGATCCTACCCAGAGAAACAGTGATGCCAGAAATGCAGACAAAGATGATGACATGGAGAGATGGAGTGGCTGGGAACTCTAGACTCAGAGAGGGAGAGGGGCTGTGTGCTGACGACCGGAGGGCAGGCTTGTAGTGCATACCCTTTGGTTGGCTGATGATGCATGGAGGGGACTGTAACCATAGCATTGAAATGATATACGATAGGATGAATGTGAAGCAAATGTTCTTCCATGTAAACTATCACAAAATTCACAATAAAACATAAAAAAAAAAAAAGAGTTATAAATTCTTGATGGCAGAATTTCCCCCTCAAAACTCCTCAAATATTATATCCTTGTTTCTGGTGTTTAGTGATATAGAAGGAGTTTGCTGTTACCCTAACATTTTTTCCTTTGTTTATAAACTTTATTTTGTACCTCCTGGTTGCAGTTAAGACTTATCTTTACCACAGGCACTTCAAAAATTTCACTTGGCTAAAGAGGTATTAGAGTATTTTACCTAATATATGCACAGGTTTAAATTATTTAGCTGAGATAAACTGACTTTTTAAAAATCCTTTATTATTTGTATTCTACGTTGCTGTATTTTGTGTGTGTATGTTCATATGTAAATTAATATTTTTCTCTTAGTACACTAAAAAAATTTTTAAATATTGGAAAGCAGTAGAGGATGTGCTGAAGTCATGGCTTCAAAAGCAGTACAAGTGTCTTCTCATGACTGTGACTGCTGGCCACCCCACAGATTTCTTCTCCTTAAATGATTTTATCCTGGCTTCCACATGGGTCTAGGAAAAAAGGTGTCTATAGTCAATTACAAGGAACTCTGGTAATGTAGTGATTACGAATCAGGCTGCGAACCTCAAGGTCAGCAGTTTGAAACTACCATCTGTTCTGTGGGAGAAAGATGAAACTTTCTACTCTGTAAAGATTTACAGTCTCAGAAACCCTGTACAGGGTTGCTATGAGTCAGAATTGACTCCATGGCACATCCACCAACCACCATAGTCAATAACATTTGAAAATGCCCTATGCAGTAACCACCTCTTAGAGATTCATTATGCATTGCTCTTTCCTAGAAACACTGAACTATTACTACAGGAAAGAAGTATAGTTTAACTCAGCTGAAATGTTTTATTTGACCGTGTTGCTGTTAGGTGTCATAAGGTTGGTTCTGACTCATAGCAACCTATGTACAACAGAATAAAATACTGCCTGATTCTGTGCCATCCTCGTAATTCTTGCTATGCGTGAGTTCATTGTTGCAACCACTATGTCAATCCATTTTGTTCAGGGTCTTTCTCTATATTAAATGACCCTTCACTTTTTGAAGCATGATGTCCTTCTCCAGGGACTAGAGCCTCCTGATGATGTACCCAAAGTTTGTACGATGAAGTCTTGCCATCCTTCGTTCTAAGGAACATTGTGCGAGTACGTCTTTCAAGACAGATTTGTACATTTTCTGGCAGTCCTTTAGAAGTCCTGGTGGTGCTATAGGATGAGAACTGGACAGCTAACTTCCACGTTAGCAGTTCAAACCCACCAGCCACTCCTTTGGAGAAATATGAGCATTTCTATTTCCCAAGAAGATTTACAACCTCAGAAACTTTATACATTGTTAACTATGAATCAGAATTGACTCAATGGCAGTTGGTTTGGTTTTGTTTTTTCGTCTGCCAGTCCATAGTACTGGCAATACTTTTTGCCAAGGCCATAATTAAAGAGCATCCATTCTTCTCCAATCTCCTTTATTCATTGTCTAGTTTTTGCATGGATAAAGTGATTTGAAAATACCATGGTTTGAGTCAAATTCATCTTAGTCCTCAAAGTGACATCTTTGCTTTTTAACATTAAAAAAAACTTTTTTTTTTTTTTTTTTTTTTTGCAGCTGATTTGCCCAAAGCATATTCTTGACTGCTGCTTCCATGGGCAGTGATTATGGATTTAAGGGAAATCCTTGACAACTTCCATATTTTCTGTGTTTATCATGATGCTTTCTAGCAACCTAGTTGTATTTTATGTTTGTTGTGTTAAGGTGTAATTATATTGATAGTTGTAGTTTTTGAAGTTCATCAGTAAGTGCTTCAAGTCCCCTTTGCTTTCAGCACCCAAGGTTGTGTCATCTGCATGTTGTTAATAAGCCTTCTTCCAATCCTAATGTATTCTTCTTCATGTAGCCCAGTTTCTTGGATTATTTGCTCATCATACAGATTTCAGTGTAGAAAGATACAACCTGGATTTGCACTAACCCTGATTTTAAGCCATGTAGTATCCAGTATCCCCTTGTTCTGTTCAAACAACTGCCTCTGGGTATTAGGCAAGTTACATAACCTTTCATCTTTCTACACCTCAGTTTCTTCCTGTGCGAAATGCAATAATCATGTCTTTTCATAGCTTATTGTGAGGGTTAAGTAAAATGCCATAGCTGAAATACACCATTGAGGAACTATCATTTAGTAAATACTCAGTGTATGCAAATTTCTTATCTTTCTCTCAGATCTCCCACATCCTGCCTTTATTTTTCTCATCCACCTTTTAACTAATGTTTAAGCTAATCTAACGGGCTTTTGTTTTTTGTTTCTTTTAACAAGCACTAACTGAGAAAATAATTCCTTTTTAAAAGCCAACAGTCATCGTCTTTTTGCTTTTCTGTCTGGCACAGGTGGCAAACATCTTTTGGAGGTCTGATTTTTTCTAACCAGTTTATTCGCATAAAGACCACTGTCCCATCCTCTTCAATCTATGGATTTGGTGAACATGAACACCCATCCTTTAGGCATGCCATGAATTATGTCAAATATGGAATGTTCTCCAGAGATCAAGCACCAGTGGTAATGTGTGAATATAGTTTCTTAATACTAAAAATCTGTTTATGAAAAGAAAAATAGACAATGGAAAATAAGGAAAGTTTTCTATAAGGTGGCATGAATTTACTCTGAGAAATTCTTTTGGTTTAAATTTAATCAATCATAAGGCAAATTCAAAAAATATATATATCCTCTCATGATTTTTTATTACCAGTTTTCCTTTTACTTTCATCATGTAAATTACACTATTTTTTGCATGTCATTAATGATTGCTGTGTCATTGAGATAGGAAAATAAAATGATGATAAATCATCAAAAACCATATTAATTTTTTCTTTTGCAGGCATTTAGCAATCTCTACGGAGTTCATCCTTTTTATATGTGCATAGAGAATGATTTTAATGCTCATGGTATTCTTCTCCTGAATTCCAATGCCCAAGGTAATATGATTATCTGGCTAAATTAGAAAGATGCTAATGCACAATTTAAATGCTAATTTTGCTTTTTCTTCCTTTTAAAAATACTGATTAATTAATATAAAAAAAGACAGAAAGATTGTCTATAACTTAGCATTTTGTTTCAAACTGGAAAATTTTGTGGTGAAACATGTAAATAAATAGTCAGTAATCGATTACAAAATGCTGTTAAGGCACATAGTACTAAAGATACAACATGTAACTTGAAAAATCAGAAGCCATTGAATAAGCAGTCTGTTAGACATTTTGCTGAAGTGCAGTTTCACTAGATCCATCATAAGTCATAGCAAGGCAAGCTTTGTCAAGGCCACCTTACTGCTTAAATTAGTCTAGAAATATATAAAATATATTGCCAGTGCAGCAGCTTTTTAAAATTGTGTGTCTGAGACTAAACTCAAATAAACTCTCTCATGTGTGTGTGTGTGTGTGTGTTTGTGTATATGTATATATAAATGCAATAGATAACTTACTTGATGAACTCTTTAGTAAAGAAAGTGAAACTGAATGTAAAGAATTGTCACATTCTGGCAGATGCTTAGATGCTATCAGAGCTACCAGTAGTGCCTAATACAATTAGCCAAGGTAATATAAATAGTATAATTATTAAAACAGTGATCTCTGCCACTAATGTTATTTGAACTTCCTCTATACTTTTCTGTCTTTCTTCTCAGATGTCACTCTAAGCCCACATCCTTCTATAACATTCCGGACAATTGGAGGAATACTTGACTTCTACTTGTTTCTTGGACCAACTCCAGAAAATGTTGTCCAGCAGTACACAGAGGTGAGTACTGCACTTACTACTCTAAAATGAATGGTTAGCTAATTTATGAGTTACCTACCCTTTTGCTTTACAATCTCATGGCTGATTGTTTCCACTTTTAAGTAGAGGCTTCTGATTTGATTATAATTTTATTAATTAAAGGTTTTTAAGCCCTACATACCTTACCTTATCAAGGTGCTGTACTTAACACTTTGAAGAGAACGTTGGCATAATTTTGTCAGAGTTTTCCTAACACAAAATTGCACTTTCCAAAAATATTATAGTGTTCTAAACTGAAATCTCTCCATACCATATACTAACCAGGGGTATTAGTTTTATCTTTATGGATCCCTCATGCCCTGTGGCACTGGGTAATTCTCCCAAGAATACTCAGCTCCCAGTCACTTGATTCAATGTGTCGCATCTGAATTGGGTTCTGAGGGTGTTGGTGTTTAGAGGAAAACCTCTCAATAGAACAGAACTCATGGAAAACTATGCAGAAATGACGTTGGCTTATCAACTGTGTTCCCCTCCCTTCCTGTCCTTCAAGATGTTTCTTCAGGGACACAATTTCTATCCCTTCCCATATACCTGTGAGGTATATGGCACATAAGTAGTATCCAAACAGTTTAACACTCATTTCCCTTTAGACTCTCATTCTTCAAATGATCTCTTTTCTCAGTTCATCAAGTAACAAAATTCATAGGGATGTTTACAGTTCAAAAGAAGCTGCTTGGTAACTAAAATAATAAAATAATTATATTCTCTATACTAAGAGAACAAGAGAAGAAGGGCAGATATTTTGTGGGTCAGGGAACAGCCTTAGCAGAGTTGTTTTGATGCTACTTGTTAGAACGGCTTTTGTTATGATTGCCACTGAATCTGAGCAGCAGCAAATTCAAAGCTTAATAACAAAAAAACAGACCTTTCCTATTAAGAAATTTCCCAGTTCTTGAAGAGATTGGAGGCTGACTGATGAAGGTTATGGGGCCAACTGGGAAACATGGTCTGCACCAAATTTTGTGGCTTCAGAGATTTTATAATGAGTATATCACTTCACTTTTCCAAAGTCTACATACAGATACTTTTCTTTTGGGCTTAGAGAAGACTATTGAACAAGGTAAAAAATGGAGTTTCAGAAAAATCTGTATAAATCTGAAAGTGACCGCTATTTTCCTGTCTTTTTTTTTTGCTTTCTTGTTTCAGTCCTTCCTGTCCTTACCCCACTGCCCACTGCTGATACTTAGAGCAGGACTGAAGGGACTAGAGTAGTAACCTCACATGCCCTGCACCTCTCCTTTGGACAAACTGGTGTTGATTCTAAAAGGCTTTGAATAGCCAGTAAGAGGGGTATTAAAAAACAAGAAAAAGTTACTGCCATTTACCTTGTCTCCAGGGAAACCGTTCACTTACTTAAAGACAGTTTAACAAAAGAAAATAAACATTTTTATTTCATCTTATTTTAATTCTATTGATAATAAAAACTTTCCTTAATTTGCTTAGTAATATAGGGCAGGTGGTAAACTGGTTACACAAATCTGTAAAATTGGAATTATGAGTAAGAATCCTAGTGACAAACGGTCTGGGTTTCAATCCTGTCTCTGCTACTGACACACTGTAAATAATCTCAGGCAAGTTACTTACCGTCCCTGTTTCTTTCATTTTTTTCATCTGTAAAATAGGATAATTAAAGTACTTTCCTCATAAGGTTTCTGTGAGAATTAAATGAGAGATTACATAAAATGCAAGTACATTAACATTGTTGTTGTTGGTGGAGGTGTTAGGTGCCATTGAGTCAGTTGGTACCAACTCATAACGACCCACAACAAAACGAAATTCCTGTGCCAATTTAACAATTGGTGCTAAGATTGATCCCGTTGTTGTTGCCACTTGGCTAGTCCATCTAGTTGGGGGCCTTCCTCTTTTTTTCTGACCTTTCACTTTACCAAACATGATATCCTACTCCAGGGACTGGTCCCTCCTGACACTATATCTGAAGTACGTTGTTGTTAGATGTGGTCAAGTCACTTCTGACTTGAACAATCCCATGTAAAACGGAAAGAAACACTGTCTGGTCCTGTTTTCCTCACAGTTGTCATTATATTTGAATTCACTGTTGCAGCCACTGTGTCAGTCCATCTCATTGAGGGTCTTCCTCTTTTTTGCTAATGCTCCACTTTACCAAGAATGATGTCCTTTTCCAGGGCCTTGTCTCTTCTAATGACATGTCCAAAGTTGTTGAATGTTGTGATGTTGGTTCTGATTCATAGCAATCCTGTACAACGTTTTCAAGAAGAATCTGATGGGTTTAAACCACTGATCTTGTGGTTAGTAGTTCAGTGCTTAGCCTACAGCACCTTCAACAGGACTCCAAAGAGATGAAACCTTGCCATCGCCACTTCTGAGGAACATTCTGGTTGTACCATATCCTAGACAGATTTGTGTGTTCTTCTGGCAGTATTCTTTCTTAGCACCATAATTCAAATGTCTTGATTCTTCTGCAGTCTTCCTTATTCACTGACCAGCTTTCACATGCATATGAGGTAATTGAAAATACCATGGCTTGGGTCAGGCACACATCAATCCTCAAAGAGACACCTTTGTTTTATAACCTTTAGAGAGGTCTTTTGCAGCAGATTTGCCCGATGCACTACATCATTTTATTTCTTTACTGCTGCTTCCATAAGTGTTGAGTGCGGATCCAAGTAGAATAAAATCTTTGACAACTTCAGTCTTTTCTCCATTTATCATGTTTATTGAACCAGCTGTGAGGATTTTTATTATCTTTACATTGAGTAGTAATCCATAATGAAGGCTGTATTCTTTGACCTTCATCAGTAAGGGCTTCAAGATTCGTGGTAGACTTCACCATTAAGCTCCAATAAATTCCAAGAAACAGGAACTTTTCTTATATCATTGGACCTATCTGCAGCTTGATGGCCATGCTCTCACCAAACTCCACTTGCTTTACTTTTGAAACTCAGGTTCTCGTCTAATTCTTCAGACTTCTTTGGCTTAATCTCTTGATATTTTCCTACCCACTAAGTGTTGGTGTTCCTTGGGGTTTTCTGTTCTTTTCAAGGGTATTTTCCTAGTAATATCACATATATCTATGATGTAACCTACTATACATGTACTGATAAATTACATATCCCTGGTGGTACAGTGATAATATACCTGGCTGCCAGCTGAAAGGTCAGTGGTTCAAACACACCAGCTGTTTCAAGGGAGAAAGATATGGCAGTCTGCTTCTATAAAGACTGAAGTCTTGGAAACCCCAGGGGGCAATTTTACTCTGTCCTATAGTTTCACTGTGATTCAGAATTGGGACACAACAAATCACAACACACACAAATGAAACAACTGGTTTCATTTTTTTAAACCCCTAATCTTAGGCACTTGGATAGCTCAAATGATTTGTACTGGAAAGGAGCTCTGGTAGCGTAGTGGTTACGAATCGGGCTGCGAACCTTAAGGTCAGTGGTTCGAAACTACCAGCCGCTCCGCGGGAGAAAGATGAGGCTTTCTACTCCCGTAAGGATTTACACCCTTGGAAACCCTGTACAGGGTCACTATGGGTCGGCTCCGACTCGAAGGCACTTAACAACAAAAACAACTAACCTAAAGGTTGGCAGTTTGAATCAACCCAGTGGAAGAAAGGGCCTTGTGAGTTGCTTCCTTCCATAAGGGTTACAAACAAGAAATTCCTATGGAATAATTCATCTCTGTAACACATAAGGTTGCCCTGACTTATTACTGTTATTTTAAAAATCTCATATCTAAAGCTTTTTTTCACATCCCAACATATTTACTTCTAAATACTAAAAATGCATATGTCAGGTCCCATTGTCATCTCTAAAACAACATCCTATACTGAATTAATCATTGCTTTCTAAACTTCTTACTCAAGTCAGATAATTCTATTATACTCTTCTGAGTTAATGGAATTGTCACTAACATAAACAATCACCAAACAAAATATTTAAAAGTTATCTTCTCAAGCCTTTATTCCCTACAGCTCATGGGTTGAATCTGTCTTCCTATTTTCATCTCCAACACCATAGCCTTAACAATTTCATCTTCTCTTCTTAGGCTGTTATCAACCGGTTTTCTTGCTTCCTGTCTGGTTCCCCTACAAATCGTCTTCCACTTTGCTGCAAGGAGGATAGTTCTAAAATGGAAAGCCCACCTGTCCCTACTATGCTGCTAGAATCTAGCCATTATCTAAAGCAACATTGTCAGAAACATAATGCTAACTACAATTTTTAAAAATTTAGTATTCACTGTAAGAAAAAGTAATAAAAAAATAAGAAGGAAGCAGATAACATTAAATTCAATAATATATTTTATTTAATCAGTATATTCAAAACATTACTTTGGCATGTCATCAGCATAAAAATAATGAGACATTTTATATTTTTCTTGTTGTTAGGTGTTGTCGAGTGGGTTCCTACTAATAGTGACCCTATGTACAACAGAACGAAACACTGGCTGGTCCTGTACCATCCTTACAGTTTTTCTTATACATTGAGCCCATTGTTGTCCCCACAGTATCAATCCATCTCATTAGGGGTCTTCCTCTTTTTTGCTGACCCTCTAACAAGCATGATGTTCTTCTCCAAGAACTGGCCCCTTCTGATAATATGTCCAAAATATATCTCAATTTGGTATAACTACATTTCAAGGGCTTACATCCACTTGTGATTAATAGTTCCCATACTGGACTGCAGAGAACTAAAAGATTACAAGTTCAAATTAATTTGCTTGCCTCATGAAGGCCTTTCATTAGCTGATCCTACTCTCCATCTTTTACATCATCTCTACATACTCTGTGCTCCAGCCTCACTAAATTTTGCCAAGATCTACTATACAAGTATGCTTAGCATCCATTCTTGTACACATACTATTCATCATGTGATGCTATTGGATCAGCACTGGACTTCGAGCCACAAGGTTGGCAGTTCAAATCTAACAGCTGCTACTCAGAAACACTCCACAGGGTCACTATGAGTTGGAACTGA